ATTAATATTTTCCTCGAATACACAAATCATACTTTCTCCCCTAAGAAAACAGTAGAGCTTTTTTGTAATCACCCTCGGTCACTCGGTCAACAACAGCGCCCTCTATCGGGATACAGCGCCATCTTGAGGAAGTGAAAAAAAACACTTAGACTCGTGAACCTCTCTATCATGTATCAGCTGGATCCAACTGTCCCTTGAAAAATTAAAGTTGAAAAGTTCATTGAATTCTGAGACGGTCGAGCACAGGTCTTCACCACACCTGAGGTGGAATGCTCCACCTCTAAGCACCTTTAATTCACCTCTAAATGGGCATTGCATAATGTAGGCAGGGGTGCTGAAAAAAAGCTGGCTAGCATTTCAACACCATGTAACTGTCAAATATCGATTGGGTATCCATTGTACTTTTTTTGCTGAATTTATGAATCCGTATTTCTCCAATAGAAAACGGTAGAACGTTTTTTTTAACCACCCAATATATACTGGAGAGGTATAGAATAAGAACAAATATGGAAAATACCATTTCAATGTAACATGGGCCTTCCCAAAAGAGCGAGTTCTCCTTGAAGAGGACTCCGATTCAGCCTGGAAATGCAAGACCTGAATGAAATATGCATTATATAAAGGGACCATGCTAATTGACAACTAAAGGCCACTTGTTGTGTTGTCAATCTCATCGAAATGTTCAAAAGCAGCTTAGTTCCTTCTATCGAGAGATCTAATCCGCAAGATCCTCCATGATCCAATGTACTCGGATGTACCACAAGGCGAAAACCGGGTATAAAAAATCGAATTATTCCTTTACGAATAGCCATATCGTTCTGAACGAAATAGCACTCCCTTGAATTGAGGCAAGTCCGTAATATGATCTCGTAATTTGGAGAGGATATCGTTTCCGACGCATTTTGAATCAATAGACTTGTTCCCAAGAGTGCTCCTTATCCATCACTCATTAGTAGGAGAGGAAATGCAGATGAACATCCCCCTTCTTCATCCCAATCCCACCTCACGCTGACATTAAAGGCTTTCTTGCTTGACAAAGAAAAACCGTGCTTGCTTTCTTGGCTCTTCCTTTATTCACACAAAGAGAAGAGGCGCGTCGTATTACATCATTATGGTTCTATCACGCTCATAGCCTTTACAACGTTCAATTATAATTGAGGTATTTTTTACCTGAAGTTCGTGTTATTGACGCACGTGTCACAATATTCGTTTTAATGGGGTACAGGTTTAGATTTTCAGGAATCCGCTTCGAAAGTGTAACATGCCAAGGGAAAGGGTGATGAGGGAATAAGGAGAAGGCGTAGAGAATACTCTCTCTGCTTTTTGCTGCCTTTCATATCTGGCACCATCCTTTACACACGACCATCAGGCGAGAAAAAAAAACAACGTTGAGCTTCCACTCCTCCCTTATGCCTTTCCTCTTTGGAATAGGGACGCAGTCGCGATCCGTTATCTGTCTGTGGAAGTCGAAGGGGGATATTTATTTAAGTCAACAAACAGACCCCGACTGGGTGGCATGAAAGAGTTGCAACTGTGATTCATCGACATTGGCATGTGTCATGAGACAGCTCCTACAATGTAAACGATGAATCGCAAAATAAGTTGTCTTGGATTTTGTCAGGCCCCAAACCAATTTCGTGAAAGGTCTTCTTGTCTTCGCATCTCCCCTAGAGTTTTTATCAATGGAAAAGTGGGAACTTCTCTATGAATTGCTCTTGAAAGCCATGTCCGCGTAATAATAGAAGCTGTATTTTTGAGAATACGAATTTTCGGTCTCCTCCGACTGATTCGTGGAGTGAAATCGCACCCTACAATTTGATAAGAAAGGCACACGGTTTCGAAGCGTCGTCCTTGGACCTTAGACCATGCACCATAAACTCCCTTCCAGGAAACCTAGTGAGGAAAATAAGCATCTCAGATTACCAGATGATACATCTGAGTTGACACAGACACACATGTTCAGACCGCAAGAGGATGGGCAACAGATTAATTTAGAGATTTGAGGGATGGGGCCTCTAGCCTTGCTCACTTCCTATGCCGATTACGGTTCTTATTCAGTTGACACTGAGCTGAGCTTCCATGTGTCACCAAAATTATGAAATCAATCAGAGTTGATATATGGCGTATTGGGTCTCCGAAATTTTACATTATCCCTTTGTGGTTCATTTTTTAGAATGCTAGGACGAATGCCGCACCCAGTGAGACAAAGGACAGCAGAGTTAACAAAAAGGCATATCTCATTTCAATAATATAGAGGTCAAGACAAATAGCCACATATTGCTTTATGTCGCAAGGCTGAAAGTTCTTGTGTTTCCGAAAATGCCTGTTATACACTTTTGGAAGGGGTGGATCAATTAATACAAACAGTATTGTACTTTTTTCTACAGTACCCAACAGGTGCGCACGCTTGTCGACAGCTAATACGCCGGGTGAAAGCAAATATTCAGAACACACCCACCTACATATTCGCCGGAAGTTTCAATCAAGCGCAAAATCGTGTAATCCCGGTGCGCGATGAACAGAGACAGCCTCTGCGATCGATGACTCTTCATCACACTCTCTGTATTTGCTGGCAGGATTCAGGGCCCATGGGGAGATTCGGTTCGTTGTCCCTCAGAGACTAATTTTCTCGATGTTCAAGATGAGATCTCTACTCTCTCTCGACCTCTCTCCCTTTTCCTCTCTGTCGGTTCAATTTAATATGCGACCCTGAAAGGCGAAGTCGGAAATGTATCGCTTGGAAATCAACATAAAATCTCCTATATAGCGTAACTGAAATTAAAATCGTATTCAGTACTGAGGTTACCTCATTTCTCAATTTTCAACAAGGGAGTAGTCTAACAAAACAGCATGGGGTCAGAGAAATTTCACATTTCCCTGCGTCAAGCATTCCAGATCCCAAGCCACTCCTCAGAAATGCAAACTTTTTGCACAGCATACTGAGTGCGAGAGTTTCCCTTCATGCAGTACCTTTTGAAAAAAAAGGAATCGTTACCATTCGAATATAATTTTTCGAAAAGCCAAGCGAAAAATAAATGGCTTCCAGTGGAAAGATCTCAAACCCAGAAATTTCTTGGGTTCAACAGTCCAAAACCTACGTGTTTACCGAAAGGTAAAGTTTATAAAACGTACCATCATGAATGGAACATTCTTTGAATTTTTGTCAGTTACTCCCAATCGCCCATGACCGTGTATGCGTTATATTAAGTTGATGTTACCTCTTGCTGAAGCGTATGCAAATGCTTCATGGGCTTTATGGATTTAATGATGAGTCCCGCTCCCGCTTTCTTTCTCTTAGCCATAACACCATCAGCTAAATGCATTGCATTATAATTACCTGTTACACAATATGGTTACATTGAACGTTACATCAGTAGCCTTTATTATGATACTAGCTAGTTTAGTCTCGCCTTCAGCGCTCTATGTCCTTAAACTGTTATTTGTATATAAGTCGCACAAACACATATAGCAGCAGACACACAAGCTCATTACTTCATGGTACTAACGCAATAATTATTGATAGACTATGTAGAGTTATATCGTCATATGCATATCTGTATTCGGGCACAAGGACTCTAAGGAAGTCAACTTGTCAAACTCCCCCTAAGGCTATATACATTTGTCTATGAGAAAATATAACATTTTGAAAATGCAGCCAACAGCTACTCCTGCTCTTTTATCATTGAATAGAGTGTATGGATAATAATGGCATTGACCTAAGCGTTCATAAGGGGATTGGGCCGAGCCACACTAAATCGCAATGCCGAGGGAAAATCTTCCTACCCGTTTCCGTGCTAGAAAAACATATATAACCCATTCGCATTAGCAAGCGTAACAATATTCATCAATCAGGGTCCTTCCACTAGGCCTATGACAAAAAATATATAGGCAAATGGCCTCGCGCTTCAGGTTAAGGCAGTAGGATTAATGGTCAGATAGGCCAAAAAGTTCCAGGATGCGAATGGGTCATGATTGATGTAGGCCTGAGTGTATGTCCGAGGGTTAGATAGTGGTCTTCTCAATAAGTCCCCTCAGGGCAAGTAACTTCGATGTCGAACTGTTTATGTTCGAAAGGCAATCCAAACGCAGATTGTTTTCCTTCCCGCTTCCTGGAAGGAAGAAAACGCATGAGGGTGCTGTTAGCTTGAGCGTCCACCAGTGGGCTAGTCCTTGGCCTGTGAAATAAGCCCCCTTCGAAATGTGCCCTCAAAACATGTACTTTCTCAGTTGGAATTTTTCTGGAGAGAGCTAGCAGCTAATCATATACCAAGTCCCAGCCTCTCATCTTTTCAAAAACATGGTTAGATAATCGTCAGTCACTAGGATCAAATACGAGTATATTTGATGAACTTTCGTGAGACCCTGTCTTTTTGGCCATATAGACAGGGTTTTGCTGACTTGAAAAGGTTCCATACTTAATAATTCCTTCAATTCCGTTAGTTTTTAGTTCCGTACAATTCCTTACTATAGGGCTTAGGTATCCATGCTTTCGGAAATAACGTCATGAAGGTTTGTAAATGTCAAAATGTAGCCGTACTTAATACAAGTTCCTAGGGAACGTGTGAATGTGGCAGTAGAAGGGATCCAATATTAATAATATCTAAGAAAGGTCATGGTATCTGGAGGCATATAGCTCATCTCAAAATGATTTAAGCATCTGGGTGACCAGGAAACATGGGCATACCAGTTTCCGAGCTGAGAAGTACAGTGAGTGCAGATTTTGATCAGAACATCAGGACTAAGTATCCCTCATGTGTAGCTAATTGGTGCTGGGTTTACTTCCCCATGTAACCCTTTCCGCACCCTTTCCATCAGCATCGACGAGGGCGGGGGTTCGGTTGGTTGGATGTCCTTGGTCCCATCCACAATGTTATGCACACCATCTCCTGGCTTTCCCGCACGCTCGAGGAAGGCGTAGCATTGCACTTGGCAAGAGGAGCGTGTGCGTCCCAGCACGAACACTAAGCGATAAGTACGATCCAGCTGACAAAGCATCTTCGATGAAGGCGGCTGCGTTAGTAGTGAACAGCAGCACTTTTCCTGGTCAGTTTCTCTATGCTCGGTGATGCGTCGTTGGTCGTCTTTCCTCGTTGTTCTTCTGTGTTCTTTTATCGGTGATCCAGGTGAGTCTTTTCGTTGCCTAATTTCGACATATATTAAATATTGCTCCTAAAGAGTAAGAGGAACTTAGCTATACTCGAAACAGGTCATGTTTATTAACCCGTTCATCTGACTTGGAGTAGGCGGTCTTTTTGAGGGTTTCTCTTCGTATGGAGTATGTACATAGTAAATTCCGCTGCTTTTTATTTGGAACAGGGAGAAGATGCTGCAATGCTCTTAATGTCCTTAGCTTTCGGTTGAGAAATTCACAGGAATATACTTTCTTCCTGGAAATCCAAATTCTACTTCCTGGAACATCATGATGCCTTCCTTTTTCGAGGGCTTTTCTGGGGTAAGCGGGAGCATTATAAGGTTTGGGTCTTAAACTAAGACTGCCGGGTAGCAGCCCGATGGTGTCAGTGCGGAAAGTTCCGTGTTATCACGAGGAGAAGCATTCCGTTCCTTTGTCGGAATGGAAATTTAGGACCCTCATGCGTAATATTTCAGGATGAATGAGTGATTCCTGGAACGAAATGAAGTGAAAATTTGGGGTTCTTTCGAAAGAAAAATGGTAGGCCTTTTGGCATCCTGAAGGTAGTCTGTTGGTAAGTGTTGTTCCCCGTATGGAAGGGTGGGAGGGTTGAAGAAAGGGAAAGCCATTGAAAATTGTTATTCACATACCAATTACCTATTCATTCATTCATATTACCTATAATACCTGCCACTAACTGCTACGATCGACGTTCGTTGTGCCACGGCACATATACTACGTACAAGCATTCTAAAACAAAACATCAGAAATGACCACTTGACGATTTCCATCTAGCTTCAGACATTAGGCGTCCAACAGTGACATACATTTATAAAAGTCTACATCAGTAGAAATGGTTCAAAGAAAAGGTAAATTTTCAAAGAACGTAGTTCTGCCCGGAAATGTATCTAGTCTAAAGCGAATTCCGATGTGGCTGAATGGGTATTCGCAGCAGTGGTGATACTGTTGCGCCACACAATCTTGTTCGTTGCCAAAAAAACAGTGAAAGTGCTTGAATTCTTAAAATGAAATGAAAGAAAAGAAAGAGGAATATAATTTTTTTCGCTTAGATAAAAAAAATACCGAAGCACCACTTCTCCAAAAACTGGTAAGATATCTTCATCTGTTAATTTAAGGTTCAGTCAATCGAATCCAAATAAAGGCTAAAAGAGACAACATTAGTTCTAATAACGCCACTGATGTGGAGCTAGGGGAAGCAAACAGGGCGTTCATAGGGACTAAAAGGCAAAGTCGTAAGAATGGATATGCTAAGATTTTGTCGCAATCAAGTAATGCATGTTAGAAGGCTGGTTTTAAATCTCCTCCATGCTTCATTTTTCTCCGTTTCTTTCTCTTGCGCCTTAAACTTTTACTGTAGTCTGTCATGTTTTGGGCTGAGATGTTGAATTGGATGTTGAATGTTATCGTGCGGACTAGGCAATATTCCAATTTACGCGTGCCCCTGTGACTTAGTATAGAGTGCATCTTTGTTTAACCATATTCCACCCTAATTGACCTCAGATATTAATTTAGCCTGAATTATTAATACTCAACTGTCCGTGAAATTATATATGTGTTTAAAGTGGTTTATACGTACCGCACGAATTTAATTGACCGTTACACCCTAATCTCATCAAAAGTTTGACGAGTATACTCATGCCGCTTTTCAATTATTCTTACTTCTCATTTTGTCAATTGTTAGGAAGTGAAAATATGCTTTTTGATACCTGACTTGCACAAAATGGAACCCGATCAGGAAGGATCTAGAGGCAATTAAAAAAAATAGCGTATTTGTATGTACTGGTTGACAAACCTTGAGGTTCGGAGAATTTCTTATTTGCATCTGCTACTTTGAGGAGAAGAGATTTCGTTTTCATTATTAGGCAAGCATTATTATACCTTGATATAATGTTGCAACCCAGCAGTAAATATTAGCCCAGCAGAAACGAATTTATGAATTTCGAAAGCAGTATATATTGCCATTATCAGTAATTTCTCACTGACCTTGAATAAATATTGATATTTTGGCATTAAGATAAACAATTCTTCTATGCTTGTCTATGCCTCCTTGCAAATATTTTTCTCTCTTTCTACTCTTTTCTATTCAAGAACACATTCAATCCTCCTCTTGCCTTCAGAAACGAGCTTTAGTCAAATATGTTTAAAATATGATTTAACATTATCACCTTCAACACTTCCAGCCTGGGGAGTGTGCGCGTGCTAAGAGGTCATTCTTAACAGTGGGAGGCGCAGACCCTTCCTCCCCCTCAATCTCCATCCCCTTCATGTTCTACTGCGATGCTTGAGGTAATAATGTATGTAACTATCGCGTTACCTGAGATCAGCACCAAAGCTCTGTAATAAATTTACAACCAGGATCAAAATAAATATTATTGAAAACATCTTCATAAAGCATCTAGGATTGTATTGGCGCATTCCTCCAAAGCTGCTTTTTAAATATTTTCCCCAATACTTACGTCAGGTAGAGTGTGCATCTTGTCACGAATTTTGTCAGTTTCATCACTTGGAAGAAGCGTTGGGTTGAAACTTCCGAGAGTGAATCGGCCAATTTGCTGTTGAAAAATCGTGTATCGCAAATATATTCACTCGCAATTGCGTATTATAGGACAACACCTCCCTTGGCTATTCGGTTATCTGCAGAATAACCGAATCGGACGCTAAAGCTGTTCTCTCTCCACACCTAAGGAACTACTTCCCCACATGATTTGTTTCTGGTCTCTTAAATGATAATCCATTCTTAATTCAAGTTTGTTTCCTTTTCCTATTCTTTCATTCTGGCCACAGTGAACTAAGTATGACAAAAGTTAGCATCATTTTGGGTTCTTGTTTGACATCTTGTTCTGTCGGTATCCAGTCTTGGGGAATGAATTACAGACTCCCATCATAGAGGGAATTGCAACCGTGACGAAAGGATCTCAGCTGACACTCAATTGCAGTGTATCCGGGCATGAGAATGGGAATTTGGAGTTGGAATGGATTTTTCAAATCCCTGAACATGTGAGAATTTTAACCCTACCTCATTTATTTGTCATTCCCAATGGGCAGAGACGTGCCTAACCTCTGATTATTGCCGCAGAATGGGCGAATCGAACAAAAAGTGTTCCGAAGCGGTCGTCATATGAACCGCCTCGTTGTGAGGAATGTCACTTCCAAAGATGAAGGAATTTATACCTGCCGTGCCACATCCCTTAAGAGCACCAAGGAAGCCCATATAAATGTCATCGTGCAAGGTGAGCACCATATGGATAAGAGCACTATCATATTTCGAACTTGCGAACTGAACAATCTGGGTGCGATTTCAGAGGGACACGTGCATGTTACGCCAAAAGAGGCTTGGGGGTTTGCCTATCTTGGGGAGGAGAATGTGGAATGGAAGCTGAAAGTGGATGCAGAACCCACACCGAATTTCGTCTTGAAACACAACGAGTTTGAAATGTCCCAGAATGGAGAAATATTTACTATCGAGGTAAAACCGACAGGGGAAATGACAGTTCAATTTAAGTATATTGATACGGAAGCATATGGTAACTACACACTCGTTGTGGGAGCTGGGATCAAAAAGGAGAAGGCGATCTTATATCTCAACCCCAGACGTGAGTTTCTTAATGTTCGATCGGTATATATTGTGTTCATTTGACTGAGTCCTCAAATACAAATACTATCTCAAATCTAAATCAGTAGGAACAAAAGAATACTAAGGATAATAATATATGAGTGGTGGTGGTGGTGGTGAGTTAAATTTCATCATGGAATTGAGGGCTCTTTGAAAGCAATCACTATAATCTTCGATACATTGGGGGGAACGGAAGATGGAATGGTTTGGAGGGTTCAGTGTTTAATTTTGTCAAAGTTTCATTTCCTTTGTTCGTCACATCATGGAAATCAATATAATGAAATATATTGTGGTCCGTGGTGAGTTGTGGTCGTGGTCGGCGGCATGCGCATAGACACATGACATACGCGTGAGCTCAGCGTAATAGCGTGTGCTCTCCCTGTATAATGTATATTATTAAATGTCTTTGGAGAGGCATTCCCTGACTCGAGAGATACAAGCGCCTCCGCCATATTGGGGCTGGAATCCCATGGTGGAGTGAATAATATGATGGGGGTGGGTGCCGGCATGGGGCCCAGGCCATTTGCCTCCTTTTCCCTCCCCTTCTCTATGGGCCTGCTATCAACTCCCTCGTGCGACTCCAGTTCCAACATGACCAGGCTATCTGGTGAGACTCGCTGCCATGCTGGGCCTCTCTGTTATATGCTCTCTATGGTTCTCTCCACTGAGTTAAGAAAAAGAACTGAAGGTGGCAATCGATACAATTGATTTGCCGCAATTATAAGTCATCTTAGTTGGAATCACAGCTTCTCTTCTCCGTCTAATGCAATTTCCTAATTTTCCTTCTCAGTTTCCTTCCTGTCGTGAACATGATGGAAGGCAGTCATGGTACTGGAGGCCTAATAACTCAAGTACGGGTTTCATACTTCTGATAACGTCAGGTCGGAACTCTTCTTTCATTGGTGCGATTCCCCAATGTCCCGAGTTGACCTCAATTTCCAGACCTTGGTCAAGGCCTTAACTTTCGGAAACGTGTGAGTTGCGATGTGAGAAGCCTGAATCTGCCGATGAAGCTCACATCCCACATTGTCCCACGAGGCCACCATTTAAGGTAACGCCTTGAAATTTGGGTTACCCTCCGTCTTCGCGCTTCTTCCCCGTCCTTTGCAATGACCACTAGCGAAGCGCAGGGGCAGACCGAGAAATTAGCGGTGCTTTTGCCGCGCAGTCTCTTTACATGGCTAGCAAGGGGGCAATGGGAGCTGGGGGGGGGAGGGGAACCGCCTCCCATGGCCCATATGCAATAACCTATCACATGATAGCCTATTACATGGTAGATATCGTGATACGTATTAGATGATAGGACTATAATTTGCTCAGTTCCGTATGCAAGAACAATTTATAGGTATCCATCATGAGGCGTATTTTGATAGGTCATCATTCCTATGAACGATAAGTATTTTAAACCTATAATGATAGGAATTCGTGAATCTTCCTGATGAAAGCCTCCCATCCATCGTCTCCCGCCCAAGAACAATGTCATGTGTTCACATGAATGCTCACATGACTGACCAGAGTGTTGAATGATGATTTAATGGTATTAATCTGACCCTGTTTACCAGTCTAGTGATTGAATTCTGATAGCCGTAGCTTGATACAAAGAATTATGCAGGATTTAACTTATCCCTGAGTAATTGCGCTCAGCACAAGTTGTGACGGTTCACATAATTAATTGGGTTAGCAAAATGCACTGCAGTCTACCCTGGTAGCTCTTTATAAGTAGAACAAAAAGGCTCTGGATCATAAGAGATTGATGCGATTCTTATACCTATCAGGATCCCCTGTCATGATAGGTATCATATGTTTTTGCATATGGCCAACATATCAAACCTATCAAACTTATCATATGGTGCACCCCAAAATAGCTATTTTGTCAGTTTTATACGTTGTTGCGTAGCAGCCATTGGCTTAAATATTAGTACTTCCGTGCTTTCACGCAGGCAACCTACTAGTATCAGGAAACTTGGATCAGACACTTTTTAAATGAATTCACTGCAGCCGGTATGAGTTCCCCTTCCTCTTCAAAGTGAAAGGCCATGGACATTCGTTAATTCATGCTCGTCTTTTATTGAAATCGCGCCAATCCGTTTTCGATATAATCTAGCTCTTCCCATTATTTTCAAGATATTCCCGATTTGTAGCGATAAAAACCAAAGTAATTGCACATGACTAAAAATAATTGGCTGAACAAGGTCAAATATGTTTCTCCAGTGTTTCCCGTTGTCAGAACTTTATAATATAGTATTCATTTTTTATCTTGGAAAGGAGACATTTTAAATGCAGAGACTTAGAGTCAAGGACCTGCTGTAGCACAGCTGAAGTCATCATGGACAACTTTGTTAAAAGGGCTAATACATTGGGCATTTGCTTATCTAGAATAGGCCGAAACGCGTGATGGAACATGGCAAGGGTGAGAGGAGTTCTCACCACTTACGAACTGAACCATTCAACTGAAGGATGAATTGCGATGATCACATCTCCTTAGATCACCAACCAGCATACTCGAATTCTCTGGTAATTAGCATCCAATATACTCCTACCTCTGCTTAAGCGAAATTGCAGCCCAACAGCCAAGAAATCGCACAGTACTGGACGAGTGAACTACTCACATTAGAGGAAAATTGAAGAATCTCAGAGATAGAAGAAAAGGGATACATGCTATGCCAACGGTTTATGGGCCGTGAACCAAGCCAGCACGGCGACAATGTAGGCAGATTTATTTTCCCATTCACTATGACACATTGCCCAAGCGTCCAAAGAAATATTTTATGGACAGCCACTGGGAATTCATTGAGAATCCGAGTGTTCAAGTTCATTCATGTATTGGAGCCACAGTAACAGTCCTAAGTCAATTACTGACCTGTCGGATCCGGAAAGCCAAATCTGTTAACTTGGAGGTGTTTTATTGTCTGTTTGACAGAAGATCATGACGTTATATGTGNAATGGTTTGGAGGGTTCAGTGTTTAATTTTGTCAAAGTTTCATTTCCTTTGTTCGTCACATCATGGAAATCAATATAATGAAATATATTGTGGTCCGTGGTGAGTTGTGGTCGTGGTCGGCGGCATGGGCATAGACACATGACATACGCGTGAGCTCAGCGTAATAGCGTGTGCTCTCCCTGTATAATGTATATAAATTTCTTTGGAGAGGCATTCCCTGACTCGAGAGATACAAGCGCCTCCGCCATATTGGGGCTGGAGTCCCATGGTGGAGTGAATAATATGATGGGGGTGGGTGCAGGCATGGGGCCCAGACCATTTGCCTCCTTTTCCCTCCCCTTCTCTATGGGCCTGCTATCAACTGTCTCGTGCGACTCCAGTTCCAATATGACCAGGCTATCTGGTGAGACTCGCTGCCATGCTGGGCCTCTCTGTTATATGCTCTCTATGGTTCTCTCCACTGAGTTAAGAAAAAGAACTGAAGGTGCCAATCGATACAATTGATTTGCCGCAATTAGAAGTCATCTTAGTTGGAATCACAGCTTCTCTTCTCCGTCAAATGCAATTTCCTAATTTTCCTTCCCAGTTTTCTTGCTGTCGTGAACATGATGGAAGGCAGTCATGGTACTGGATGCCTAATAACTCAAGTACGGGTTTCATACGTCTGATAACGTCAGGTCGGAACTCTTCTTTCATTGGTGCGATTCCCCAATGTCCCGAGTTGACCTCAATTTCCAGACCTTGGTCAAGGCCTTAACTTTCGGAAACGTGGCGAGTTGCGATGTGAGTAGCCTGAATCTGCCGATGAAGCTCACATCTCACATTGTCCCACAAGGCCACCATTTAAGGTAACGCCGTGATCTTTGGGTTACCCTCCGTCTTCGCGCCTCTTCCCCGTCCTTTGCAATGACGACTAGCGAAGCGAGGAGCAGACCGAGAAATTAGCGATGCTTTTGCCGCGCAGTCTCCTTACATGGCTAGCAAGGGGGCAATGGGCTCTGGGGGGTGGAACCGCCTCCCATGGCCCATATGCAATAACCTATCACTTGATAGCCTATTACATGGTAGATATCGTGATACGTATTAGATGATAGGACTATAATTTGCTCAGTTCCGTATGCAAGAACAATTTATTGGTATCCATCATGAGGCGTATTTTGATAGGTCATCATTCCTATTAACGATAAGTATTTTAAACCTATAATGATAGAAATTCGTGAATCTTCCTGATGAAAGCCTCCCATCCATCGTCTCCCGCCCAAGAACAATGTCATGTGTTCACATGAATGCTCACATGACTGACCAGAGTGTTGAATGATGATTTAATGGTATTAATCTGACCTTGTTTACCAGACTAGTGCTTGAATTCTGATAGCCGTAGCTTGATACAAAGAATTATGCGGGATTTAACTTATCCCTGAGTAATTGCGCTCAGCACAAGTTGTGACGGTTCACATAATTAATTGGGTTAGCAAAATGCACTGCAGTCTACCCTGGTAGCTCGTTATAAGTAGAATAAAAAGGCTCTGGATCATAAGATATTGATGCGATTCTTATACCTATCAGGATCCCCTGTCATGATAGGTATCATATGTTTCTACATATGGCCAACCTATCAAACCTATCAAACTTACCATATGGTGCCCCCCAAAATAGCTATTTTGTCAGTTTTACACGTTGTTGCATAGCAGCCATTGGCTTTAAATACTTCCGTGCTTTCACGCAGGCAACCTACTAGTATCAGGAATCTTGGATCAGACACTTTTTAAATGGATTCACAGCAGCCTGTATGAGTTCCCCTTCCTCTTCAAAGTGAAAGGCCATGGACATTCGGAAGTTCATGCTCGTCTTTTATTGAAATCGCGCCAATCCGTTTTCGATACAATCTAGCTCTTCCCATTATTTTCAAGATATTCCCGATTTGTTGCGATAAAAACCAAAGTAATTGCACATGACTAAAAATAATTGGCTGAACAAGGTCAACTATGTTTCTCCAGTGTTTTCCGTTGTCAGAACTTTATAATATAGTATTAATTTTTTATTTTGGAAAGGAGACATTTTAAATGCAGAGACTTAGAGTCAAGGACCTGCTGTAGCACAGCTGAAGTCATCATGGACAAATTTGTTAAAAGGGCTAATACATTGGGCATTTGCTTATCTAGAATAGGCCGAAACGCGTGATGGAACATGGCAAGGGTGAGAGGAGTTCTCACCACTTACGAACTGAACCATTCAACTGAAGGATGAATTGCGATGATCACATCTCCTTAGATCACCAACCAGCATACTCGAATTCTCTGGTAATTAGCATCCAATATACCCCATCCAATATCCTACCTCTGCTTAAGCGAAATTGCAGCCCAACAGCCAAGAAATCGCACAGTACTGGACGAGTGAACTACTCACATTAGAGGAAAATTGAAGAATCTCAGAGATAGAAGAAAAGGGATACATGCTATGCCAACGGTTTATGGGCCGTGAACCAAGCCAACACGGCGACAATGTAGGCAGATTTATTTTCCCATTCACCATGACACATTGCCCAAGCGTCCAAAGAAATATTTTATGGACAGCCACTGGGAATTCATTGAGAATCCGAGTGTTCAAGTTCATTCATGTATTGGAGCCACAGTAACAGTCCTAAGTCAATTACTGACCTGTCGGATCCGGAAAGCCAAATCTGTTAACTTGGAGGTGTTTTATTGTCTGTTTGACAGAAGATCATGACGTTATATGTGAAAGGGTTGTTTCTTCTTAATTCCGTTTTTTACACTTTCACACTGAAACGGCATGAATTCTCAATGGGTTGCTACTTTTAACGCATGCCGAGCATTTAATGATACTCTTTTCCACTGTCATTGAAAAGTTAACGTGTTCGTGGACGCAATAAATAAATTTACTCACAATCTCTTCACATAGGTCCTTATGACATCGTTCAAGTCACACTGGCATCCATTGCTGTTTTTTTACTCGTGGTTGTCACTGGTATCACCATCTACTACAATCGAGTTGGGAAAGGTCGAGTGAGTCTTGCTCATGAAGCTTTCAATTATGAAATGACAAGGAAATTCTCTGTATGAAGAATTATTCTTCCCTACTTTCTCGCAGGTTCTCCACATGCTGTTGACGAAGGTGCAGGTGAAATGGTTTCATGAAGGACAACTGGGAAACATCAACCCCGCACTTGATCTTGGCCAAAAGGCATACTATCTGCCATATGAAGATCGCTGGGAATTCCCTGCAGACAAGCTAATACTAGGTTAATCCCTTACCTCAAAATTGATGTAGAAGCCTGGACTCCTGATGATTTTTATAGCAGGTGCATCTCGATAGGGGAGGTGATTGGTCGTGGTGAATACGGTGTTGTTGTGAAAGCCGTGGCCATTGGAATCCTTGATTCGGAGATGGAAACGCCAGTGGCCGTGAAGATGAGCAAGCCAGATTCGGACCCGATCCACTACAAGGCCCTTATAACGGAGTTAAAAATCATGAGTCATCTTGGGAATAATCAAAATATCGTCAATCTCCTGGGAGCTTGCACCAGAGATATTGCGCATGGTAAATTTCATGATTTTGATTCTTGAATCGCAATGGGAGAGAAGTTTTAACGAAAATAGAATTCTTTCTCAGAGGTAACTCAATGAAGGTATTTTATTTAAGCATATTTTGCAATAACTACAGGGTGGAAGGAAAATTGTTCTCACCATGGTTTTTTCAAAATAAAACTGGAAATATAGCACAGTCACAAACTATAATGGGCAGGCTACATTAGGAGCACAATATATTTTCAACAAGGAAGGATTCAATATTTAGTGTGCCTGCCACCATTTTTCATGGAAGCTTCAAAGCGTTTACCAAAAGAGTCAGTTAACGCGGCCGTCTCCTCTTGGTTGATGCTGTCCCATTCCTTCTTTACGAGGGTGATTGATCTCTAGGGCGTGGTGTGGGTTCCCTGAACACACTATTTTGCAATCTAGCCCACAGATGTTCGATCGGGTTGAGGTCAGGCGAATTTCCAAGCCAGTCCTTCCACGCACTCTGAAACATGTTGTCAATTGTTGAAGTTGTGGCTTTTCCTCTATGAGCCGTAGCACCATCTTGCATGAGGATAACTGTTTCACGCTGAGGGAACTGGAGACGATTCTCAATGCATACTGCATACAATGGGAGGATATGATCCCGGTAGTATGCCCCATTCACGATAACTTTTGTCCAGTGAGAACAGATATCACGTCTACCATCAGTCCTGTTCAAAGGACAAAGTTTGATATGAAAATCATGGTTGCCGGTGCCATAAGTGTTTATGGAAAATCTGAACTTCATGTGCTTCCTCAAAAAAAATACGGTCCTCAGACCTGTCCGCACTGTATATTTTCTCTGGGGATTATCGAAGCTCAAAATCAACCAGACACGTCCCAAAAGAGCAGATGAACTTAAAGTCACGATTAATGAAGCCATCGATGCTATTGGTGAAGGCACACTCATTACAGTAATGAACAATGCAGTGGTTCAATGCAGGGAATGCATCATTTGCAAAATACATAATTTAAACTATTTAATTTTCAAGACATAGACCTGGGATAGCTAATGTGGCAATCTCCCATGTTCGTGCTTTACTTTGATATAATAGTAGTTTGCATTACTTTGTTCAGTCGTGATTTATAACAAAAATGAATGTGTCAGATATAAAATGTTTGCAGAATTAAATGAACATGTTTTCCTGAGCCTTCCCTTATGCAAAAGGATGGTCTACTTATATAGCCCCCCCATCATTTCATGTCCGTAGCTTCACATTAAAAATAAACCGGATTTTCATTGTAGGGAATCTCATGATCGTGATGGAGTACTGTCCGAATGGATCTTTGGAGCGTTACCTTAGGCAACACCAAAACCACTATATCGACATGATCGATCATCAGACTGGGAGGATCAGTCGCAGTCTTCCACGTGGACCTCAAGGAGATGGGCCTGATAGGTGAGTCCTCGCTATTTCCTTATTTTCCGTGCTATGATGCTGCCAGCTAAAAAGATTCTTCTTCCACAACAGGGGAGGGGATGAGGGATATGTGATTATTGCTATGGATTCTGACGTAAATGATAACAATGGATCCCTCGGTCAAGGTGAGTTCGTATTCGATGGCCAGTGAGACAGAAATCTGAATCGCCTCATTGAGTGATAAAGCAATTATTTCATAAATACTTCCTAAATTGTACATTCTGATATATGTTTGTCTGCCTCACTACTAAAATTGTTATTGTGTGAGGAATAGGATCTGTAAATCCACCCCTCTTTCAACAGCGAGTTGTTGTTCCATAAGTGAACGATTTTTCTCTCGGAAGCGGAGCCTCTACGTCATCCGAAAATGAGTCCATTCCCACCACAAAGACGAAAGTGTGACCTTATATAATAAAGGAGTCGCCCTTAGTACAATTAAAAATCAGTACGACGTCCCATTCCTAATTACCTTCTTTCTTCCTGAAAAAACGGGTAGCAGTACTTTCCATTGTACATATTTACGTATTTTCCATATTTATGCAACTTGGGAGGTTATGTGGACGAAAGGGGCTACTCAATAAGCGTCTAGGATATGTTAAATGTAAAAAAAAAGTATATATATATATATATAATGTTGAGTCCTATGTTTAATAAAGAACGGCTTTTCAAGCGATTACCTGGTAGGGCAGTGACCTGCTTCCCACCAAGGCGCATAGATAGTGAAAAGGAAATACCAATGGTGCCTGTCCCACCCAAACCAATCTAAGCAATGGGGGAATGCATCCCACTACAATTAAAAATTTCTTAGATACGTATAGCTTCGTATCTAAGAAATTTTTAATTGTAGCAATAGTATCCAAATTGGCGTTAACGCATCCTGATACCACTATCGAACCTAGAACTTTGAACCTTCATGGATGGCCGAGAGAAGCAAACTTTTAAACTTTCAAAAAAATACGTTCATGTCCTGGCCAGCAGATAATGGCATTTGTGATAATGACATGCTACTCCATGATGTTTCAAAAATCTTTAAAAGAGCCTCTTACTTCACAGATTATTCTTGGTTTTCATTGAAACGAAGCATGTAGTGACAATATGATTGCAGCGAACCGACACGACCTACCGCCTGTAGGGAGGCTTAATCTAATTTTGTTGCATCACTACTGATGTCATCTGCCTTTCATTGTCTTCTTTTCAGGAAATGGAGCTCAATCAGACAGGAACAATCAGGGAGAGTGTTCCCTTGATGAAAAAATTAACAAGCAATTGACAACTTTTGACCTCCTGTCAATCACCCTCCAAATTGCCCAAGGAATGGAATACCTGGCCTGTAAAAAGGCATGACCTATTTTTATGAGACCTCCCAATTGCTGTATTGACATTGTATAAAAGATATGCATATTTTGTTGCAGTTTATCCATCGAGATTTGGCAGCTAGAAATATACTTTTGGCAGAAGGCAATATCGTGAAGATATGTGACTTTGGCCTCGCAAGGGACATTCAAGAAAGCGAACAATATTTCACGAGAGGACAGGCAACTTAATCGTGTTTTTCATTGTTTCCGTCCTACCGGAGATGTTTGACGCCTGACAAATTTTTGGTTTCTTTAGAATCCTGTAGCAATTAAATGGATGGCATTGGAGTCCCTAACCAAAGACAAAGTGTATACCTGCCGGTCAGATGTTTGGGCATTCGGAGTAACGATGTGGGAGGTATTCAGCCTCGGGAATCATCCGTATCCGAACATTGAGCGGCCTGAGACCCTCATCAAGTACTTGGAGGATGGAAATCGTATGGAGTCCCCAGCGTACGCTAATGACAAGCTGTGAGAACGCCCACTATCTTTCCTCAATTTCTGCTTTATTGGAGGCGTAATAGGTAGATCACTCCAGCGTTTGAACTGCAAGACATTTCCATATCTTTATGCATTGCCCCAAAAGGCAACGAAAATTATGGCAGCTGCCCCTTAGTCGCGCCGGCGAAAAATCAGTCGCCCTGCAATGAAAGCTTATGCATGCATCGAATAATAAATGCGCTGTAATAATGGAAGGAACAGAGCCAAATTTTAAAATTTTTTAATGCCTTTGAGCTACTACCATGCTGATAGGCTCATGAGAATTCCGTAATAATTGATATTTGGGAAATTATTCATTTTCCGTGAGACATGGATGCAATGCCTTACCGGGAAAAGAAGTGCTTTAAATGGTTTCCTCTTCCTCTTTCAATCTACGGAATCAACTCAGTACCCTTCGCAATGTAAAACTACCTGCACTTGGCATTGACGCGAAAATCGCTAATACCGTTCTGATCTCTTATTGTTCGAAGGAAATTGATGATATCACGGAATCACACTATCGCTAACTTCTACTTTTCGCAATATTTTGCTGCGAAAATTGGGTGGAACATTAAGTTTGCTAAGAATTGTAGAAAGTTTTCATAGAGATTTGGAATGAGGTTGGTTTTAATATTAAACATTCTTTTAGGGGAATTAGCCTAAGCAAAACGCTTACTTAAAACTTTTTCTTGGCATTCTTGCACTTTTTCAAAGCTACCAAATTATGATGCAATGCTGGAATGCAGATCCAGACGCAAGACCAAATTTTCCGGATTTGTAATTGCAAAAACTGTTGTGAATGTTTTCTTGCAGTACTCTGAATCGCAAAACATACCGTTCCTGCAAGTGAATCCCATATATTGTCCAAATATGAATAGCCATGTGCGTCCTAACCAACTGTTGCCAATAGTCGCTATTCCTGAACATGGACAATCCACAATGGAAGAAAATCAAGATTGCCGCCTACAAACGCAGCACACTGTCCCCCTTCATGGAGAAGCTTTCGAGATGGGGAACCTCTTGTCATTCAATGAACTCAATCGTGACAATATTTCCGATACTGCAGCGGAATAGGCTGTGACGGTGGAAGAAGGATAAAGCCTTTTGTGTGAAAATGGGTTTTAAAAAAAAGACACAACCATGCCAAACTATCAGTGAGATGACTCACTCAAAATGTGCGAAGCTATGAACTTGTGTTGCTAGACTATAATGAATATTATGCTCAAGTCGATTCTGTGAATATGACGATTGGGCTCCGAAAACGAACCTTTTTGATGGGGACAATTATTATTCCTCTTGCACTCGGACTCCTGTTGCACTTTTCAAGCACGTTTCAAGATGTGAGAGGATCTCCTGCAATTTTGAGGTTTCTTCATGAACGTTGGACAATGGCGGTCGATGTTCCCCCGTCTGTAGTCAATGATTATCTACTTCACTCGAAGAGGCTTCGTGCGTGATTTTTGTTATCAAGAATACATTCTTGCACTTTGTCTATAGTCCTATCAAATGCATCCATTATTGTCTCATAACAGTGCTTCCTAGAATGTAGCTACCGATATTTCTCGTCTCCGAATTTCTTTTTTTAAAGTTAACCACACCTGTGATGTAAGAAATTGTGAGAATGCTGACACCTCGAAATTAGATTTCCCTCCATTAATGCAATCCCAGCCAGCGACCACAGTCACTTCTCCCTAAATATCATTTAACTAAGTAACCTATAGACATGTTAGTAAGTGCTGGAATGGTATTAAGTGACGCAAAGAACCGCAACAATTGGTTACATGGCTCATAAATAATCAATTTAACCAACGGAGGTCATCCCAAAAGTTCGTGAACGAGTACGAATATTTTCTGTGCATGTGATTCAGTAGCAACGGTCTTAGTGTTCATAACGATGTCTCATGGTTCCAACGTCAGAATGTTGGTGTAATTGCTTATTCCTATTGCAAAGATGCCGCTATTTTAAATAGTATAGATATATATTTAACCACTGTGGATGAAGACGATCGTTTCTAATTAGGTGGGATTTGGTTTTTGTGGAGACAGAAAAAGCTACAGGGCCAAAATAATCGTGAGCTGCAAGAAGTTAACAGGGATGGAGATTTCGGCAAAAAGGCCATACATAAGTGGGTGCGTCGCTTTGAAGAGATGGATTCCATCCTGCTCACAGAGCGAAATGTGGATGGACACGCGAGTTTGGTGAGGCAGCCTGATATTTTCGGGCTGCATGAAGGCCAAGGGAAGTCGGATTTGGCTGTCAAATAGTAGGAAGAATGGATGCTAATATGTATACATGCATCCATACAAGTTAAAACGTGCTTGGACATGATCGATGGCATGCCAGAAGGGTCTAGACAGGGTTGACGATTAATGGAAAATAAACTAGGAATAAATCAATTCGATTTCTACATGCCTGATTGTGAGGGACAAAACCAGCCAACAGTCAGGAATTAAGAGTGATATTGGCTGGAATTTGAATTAAAAGTATCCTCGAGTTATGAGTCATTAGGTGGAACTGTGCCAAACATTGACATAGTTTTGTCTCTCATTGTATCTGGACATGTGTAGGAGAGATGAGACATTTGTTGAAATTATGCTCTTTTACTCATTTATCTACGTGCATACCAATTTAGTCCATATTGGAGATGGTGGACCTCACGCTCTGGTAGAAATCAGTGTGGAATGACCCACCTAAATAAAACCCTCATTGTCTATTGGAACATGCTAATTGACAACTAAAATTCGTGTTCTGTTGTTACTCCTATCGAAAGTTTCATAAAACCCCTGTTAAATTTCGATTCATAGCGAGTTCAGTGGGAACTTGCTTTAAAGGGTCTTCGCTTCTTTTAAATGGCATTCTCGACAGACTTTGCGAGAAGATAAAACCAAGATGTAAAACGTGTCACTGTTGCTTGATCGTGGAAAGTAACAGCAAAATATTACATGCAATTAAGACCCTAAATTATCCAAGAAAGCTTCTTCCATTATGTCTTGGGACTTCTCCACATTATATACAAAAATACCTCTGGATATTTTGTTTCACAACATTCTTGAACTATTTGAAAACTATGGCGGAACAGGATTTACCTTTAAATACACTTTCGTGAGTAAATCATACTGTTGTGCCCTCCTGAAAGGCTGTTTAGAAGACAACTACATCCAATTAGGTACTAAAGTTTTTAGACAGCAAATTGGAATTCCGATGGGCAGCAACTATTTCACTAATATGGCAAATCTCTTCCTTTTTTATCATGAATCAAAACATATGAATTGAAACCCCCAATCCGGAAGCATACGCATTCACATTCCGTTATATCGACGATCTAGTAGCCATTAACAATGCTTCTATTCAGGCAGAAATCGAGGACATATATCCAGATTGCCTAGAATTAGAGGAAACGGTTTCGCCTCCATACAAGAGTGTTCATTATTTAGATATGAATGTGAAAATCGATGACATCTGTAATTGCTTTGTCACTGATATTTATGATAAAAGAAGGGATTTTGAATTTGAATTTCTTAGCCTACCAAATGCTAAAAGTAACATCCTAGGGCATATAATCAAGAATGTTGTTAATACTCAGCGGAAAAGATTCGCTCTAATCTGCTCCAATTTGGCTGGATTTCATTATAACTGTGATCTCTTGTACCAAAGGCTACTTAGCAATGGGTATCAAGATAACTTTCTACAGAAACTTTTTAACTTGTTTGCTCAGTAATGTAAGTATGACCTAATTAAATTTTCTCCCGAAGGGGACGATTTTTCTGCAATATGGCTGTGAACTATTTCCATCAGGCTCCAGAAACTTTGTATACAGCTCGGATGTGCGGCTCTTGCAACACGGACGTGACTGCAACTCTGTTCTGTTCACTGAAAACTGTTCTGCATTAGAACAGGTTTCAGTTATTGGGCGTCTTACCATACCGTTTTTAAATTTCATCCTAGACACCACTTATCCAGTTAGTCGGGGTTGGGTGAGGTGTTTTTGGTCTAATGTGTCAAGGCCAAGGCCTGAAGGTAGCAGAAGCAATCTGGGCATCGCTCCAGTCTGTCAGTGTAGGACACAGTTAACTGAATGCATGGTAGGACCTTTTCCCAGGGCTACGTTTTTTCTTTCATAGGCTTGTTTCGCAACTAGCCTTCCCCCCCACTAATTTTCCCTCATGGGCTTGAGCCATTCCGAGCCATACTCTCGCTTCTTTTCCTTATTTGTCTTGAGTCTACCATACATTTCAGTCGCGAGGCTGATCGAACCAATCGATCGTTGGCTGTGGCACTGACAGACGGACTTAAGCCGTGGTTGCCTCTGAGGCATTAGGTACAGTCTAACTGTTTAATTCCATAGGCCGAAGCACCTGGCAGTAGAAACTGCCAGGTGCTTCTGGTTAGGGTTTGTTTGGTCAGACTTGCGGCCTCAACCCCCTGACGACGCAGGCTGCCTGACAAAACTTCTAGGATATGATCCTTCGCTGTTCCTTCTCTTTTTAACTTCCATTAGCCTTGCCCATACATGCAGGCTGTCTCTAATATTCAGACTCTCATCTCAAAGTTCCGCGCTTCTGGGTCCAAAGGTTGGGCATTTTCTGTTGCCCTTGGGTGGTTTCAGACAATTTCAGCACCAAATAACTTCTCTTACTCTATATACTGTGTATATACTAGCTATGGTCGCGCTTTCGGCGCTCCATTACCTTGGATTGTGATTAATTCATTTATTCTTTGCGAAATGGAAAATATGTATTTAAAGCACTTTCACATTGAAATACGTGACAAATGGGGACGAAAGTCTTGATTTTTATCAAAACCATTACTTCTATGATTTCCAGTGTGTCTAACTTTAAATCTTTTCATGCGTCCCTTTTTGTAAGGGTGGAGAATATATTTTGAATTACTTCCCTCCTATAATCTATGCTAAGGGGACATATTTCAAAAGTACGATTTTTCCTGTACTCAACCATCAAATAGGTACTTCTGAGGGAATTAAATATTCTGTCTCT